AAAATAATAGGCAAATTTACGTCCCAATTGTACAATTCTTTGAGAGCATGGTTTTACGTCTGTAACACTGAAAATGTTTAGAATCGGTCAGTTAGAAACATTGCTAATGATTTTTTTTGAATTTCCATTTTAGAACTCTTTGGTAACTTAATGTAGTATATGGCATTCATTTCTCATTTGCTTTTGTGAATTGGCGGCAAGAAACACCTTCGCATGGACTGGTGTCGCCAAATGTTAGATAAGTTCAACGGCGGTGACACAAATGCTGTATTTGACATCGTCACAGGTGATGAAAGCTGGATATATTGCTAAGAACCCAAAACTAAAGATAATATTCGAGGTACTCGCTTTACGAGCCCTGAAGATGCGGTGACAGCGTACGAAAATGCGATAGAAGAGACCCTTAAGGAAGAATGGAACCACTGAGAAAAGCATCTCAGTGGTTGCATCGAATGTGACGATGTGTAGAGAGGAACGGAGATTACTTCAAAAAACAAAAAAAGTATTGTTTTTACATTAAGCCGTTATTCAGTTTCTAAACATTTTCAGTGTTACCTAGGTACTACATAACCACGTGCCTATCCACCCTAAGGTGAACCCTGTTTGAACCCCGGTTGTATATCACTACATTTTTCGCAGTTGAATAGAAATCAGCATGTCTACAACTTAGACAAAATGTTATAATGTTTTAAATACACATTCTTCGAGTACACGTATTGTTGGCGGAAGTATTTATGTAATGAGAACAATACACTGGCTAATTATTCAATAAAACATCGGTTCTCATCAAGCGAATCTTGCGCAATATTGACTTTGCTTAAAACGGTCATAAATCATGAAATTAATATGTAATACGGAAACTTATTATTCATTTTAGATTTTTTGATTTCATTCACTCCAAATGCTCTCATTTAAGTTTTTTTCTGTAATAGCAAGAACTACTCTAATGGACTGTACTGTATTGACGCTTGTTTTATTCTTCTATTACCTAAAAAGGAATAGGTGGACCTTCACCCCCACCACCTCACAACTCCCTATTATTACGTATGATAAAGATATATATCAGATTTTTCGTGTTAAGCTAAATTCGACACAATTGTGAGTAACTTATATTAAAAGAAGTCATTTTTTGTTTATTTTTCTCATTGTATTGTTTTACCTAACACCGTGGCTGCACTATCGAAATAGTGATTCTAATAACTAATTAGAAACAACATGGAAGTGTGTTAAATTCGAAGAAAGTTCATGAAGTCCTCGATCGTAATACTATTTTGATTCGACAATCTATTATATAAACAAACTTTCTACACAAAAATATAAACAAAATAAATCAAATGCCAGAAGTTTTAAAAATTTACATTTTAACCGTAGTTCACTACAATGGTAATTTGTACTCTCACTTTCACATAATACTATAATTTGAATAATCGTTTTGTGTTAATTGACAAAACGAACTATGAAATGTGATTAATCGCGGACAATTATTCATTTAACTTTATATTACGTAAGTATCATAATATTATTAAAACTTTTACGTGTTTGTATAACTGTAGACTTGATTAATTGATAGTGATTATCAAACAATATTCTCAATAAATACAATTAAAAACTCAGACTTAAGTGTTTGGTAAAATTTTATTATATTTTAAGTTCAGTCAACTACGGCTAGTGGAGAATAATCCGTTATCTTGAGAGGTCTTTTAGTACACATCAGCCTTGCGATTCTGTAATTCACTTTTCGAACTCTCACAGCCGTTTTCTTTAAGGAGCTTGTAGTTTATTGTTTATCAGAATGCCAAATCGTAAAATGACTGCTTTACGACTGATTTGAGCGCGACTTCCGCTGTGAAAACCGCTGTGAGAGTTACAGAATCGCAAGGCGTATATTTAGTAGGATATTGTAATGAAATTGAAAATAAGGACTTTATTAATCATAAATGTAATTAAAGAAATATTAGCTAGAAAATTTACAAAATGTAGACATGGCACTAATTAAAACTAAAATAAATAAAATATTGTCGAAGAATAACCTATTCAAAACTATATCTCTATTGTAAAAATGAATAAAATAAAGTATATTAGCAACCTCTATGAGACCCTTCACGCAAAAAATTAAATAAAATGTAGATTATTTATAAACACAACGTTTGTAATTTCCAATAATATAAATATTATATTATGAGGATTCAGTAGTGCTGTGTGAACTTTTTTGTTTCTTTTATATAAATGCATATTGTACTTCATCATATTATATTAACATATTTTTTTTAAATTATTAATGGTGGCTAACCATAATATTTGGCAACGCTTATTATTTATTTATTACTTTTTAGTCCAAGATTCCTAATTTTTTATTTGTTAATGTTTAAATAAAATTCGGATAAATATTTAGGTTTTGCTTGTTTACAGTATTTCGGAAATGTGGATGGAACTATGACAACATGCTAGTACTTTATGGGCCTGAGGCCCATGCACAGCCGCAGAGGTAAAAAATACTTTTTTTTTATTAGTTCAACTATACAAAGTATTAAAACACGACAATTAAATTATCAAATAAGATAACTATATTAAAAATAAAAATAGGTAAAAAAACTTTTTAAGTTAAACGGTTTTATGTTAAACATACATTGCAATGTTTAAGATAAATGTACTAAAAACCAAAAAATAATAAAATAGATACAGTCGTGGGAATTATAAACATATGCATAGACTAGACTAAAATAAAACCGTGGGGCATGTCAATTGTCTGTTGAAACGATTCCTCGCCAGCCAGCAGTGTGAATGTCCAACGATAAACTAGTTGAAACATCTCTTTTATTTACATGGAGTGTATAACTATTGGAATTTCCATGAGCAAGAAAATAGTAAGTAATTTCCTGACCGTCTGCGGGCCAACTGCCTATTTTAACGACGAATTAAACGATTCTTCTATCGCACATTAAGTCGATAATTTGTAGACAATTGACGTGCCCCACGGTTTTATTTTAGTCTAGTCTATGCATATGCTTATAATTCCCACGACTGTATCTATTTTATTATTTTTTGGTTTTTAGTACATTTATCTTAAACATTGCAATGTATGTTTAACATAAAACCGTTTAACTTAAAAAGTTTTTTTACCTATTTTTATTTTCTAGTTTTTAGTTTTTATTTCGCATTCTGTTTAATTCATTTAGTGCTTCATTATTGCAAGGTTCCTTGCCCGTTAGTTTATATAAATAAATCAATTCTATAATATAAATATAATATATATTTAATTAATAAAATAGATACAGTTTTTAATATAATGTTATATATTATATAATATTTATTTATTTATTTATTTAGTTTATTGTATTGTCACCAAAATCCAAAGTGTATACAAAATTTCAGATTAATCGGTTGACAGGAAGAGGGTGAAATTTGAATTACTAAATTTGACCCAAGAATAAAACAAACGGGGTGAGCTAAATAAAACCATTTAATAAGAAACATTCGTAACAAACATTCGCGTTTTCTTTTATACATACGAAATATTTTCTAATGTGAGATCTAAAATAGATTTGTATAACAGTTTGTGTGATTATTTTCCTTTTAAATTCAATGTCTAGTTCGAATCAATAGATAGCTTCGGTATGGAATAACGGGCAGGTGAAAGTTGGCAAAAGCCATGTCATCAGACCTTCAAACCATCTTTATTAATCAAAATATTTTTTGGAGAAAGTTTTGCATATCTGACAATGCAATAAATTATACATGCGTTCATATTTCATACTTGAGTATATATTTTAGTTAAGAAGTTAACGAACAGGTTCTTCTTTTACTGATAAGAAGTATTGAAAGATTGAAAGGAATAGTCACATCATGGGATTTGTTTCAACTTTTTTACCAAAATGCCTAGAATAGATCATGGGACTCTTTGTCCTTCATTGCAAATGCCTTCTTTGTTTATTCAATGCAAATGATGCGTCAGATAATGTACTTTTTTAACGAATCCGATACTAGTGCTATACGTAATGACATTCCGTTCAATTGAGGTTAATACCTACTAATATTATATTATATTATATTATATTATATTATATTATATTATATTATATTATATTATATTATATTATATTATATTATATTATATTATATTATATTATATTATATTATATTATATTATATTATATTATATTATATTATATTATATTATATTATATTATATTATATTATATTATATTATATTATATTATATTATATTATATTATATTATATTATATTATATTATATTATATTATATTATATTATATTATATTATATTATATTATATTATATTATATTATATTATATTATATTATATAATTAAATTTCATAGTTATGACTTTTAACAAAAAAACCGTAGAATTGATTCTTTCCAATTAATAGCATGACTTCCACGTTATTTACTTATTGACTTAATCACAAAAGTCATCACCATACTCAATATACCGCAAGCAAAGCCACGGACAGAGGCAAGTTTTATGTAACAATAGAATTTCAAATAGCTTCTTAAACGAGTGCTGACCGGTCACCATTTTAAATCGTTCACGTAAGTTTACAGAATGCGTAAATCTCAACACCGTTAGTTACATCACGGTCGAGTGAAAATTTTCAAAATAAAGTTTCACTTTTATGTTTTACAGTTAAGCAACTATCATGGTGATTAAGTGCTTTCTTTGAACTCTATGTCAAAAATATTCTTTTACTTAAATCATGCTTCACGGTTATGGGAAAATAGATAATTAAAGGCGTAACGTGATTTAAAATATGTATATGTAATTCTAGATGCGGTAATATGTGGCAGAAGAGTAAATAAAACCAATTATAACTTATATTTGGAATATAAAAATTGGTTTTTAATATTTTTATAAAGCCGAAACTTCATAATTTGAAAACAGTGAAACAGATTTAACAATAGAACTCTTCGTTGCATTTACGCGTTTATTGCTTTTAATTATGGTTGATTTTAGATGCAAATTAATTCTTCTAACCCCCAGATGGTAACTTGCGATGATACATCAGTCGGCTTCCACCTAGCCGGCCGCGAGGATGACGGGCCACGTGCGCGTGCGTCTTGTGCTTCCTCCCTCTCACATTACAAGCAGAAGATCGACGCGCTCTTTGACGATAACCGCTCAGTAAGCAGTCAACAGTATGGATCTACGTCGGATATAGGCAGGAGAGATAGTAAGGTTAGTCTGTTTTAGTGTTTGTGTTTTATGTAAATTATCAAGTATCTGTATTTAGAAATTCCTTTTCTACATCTATTTCTGATTGAACAATGTTGTACCATATTAGTAGGTAAAAGTAGGTGGTTTAAAAAAATTTGGAAACTTAAAATTTTGCTTTATTGTTAGTAGTTAAAAAGTGATATCATACATGTACGGGTGCTTTTTATAGTTTAAATTATGAATGCCATAAATCAATGTCTAATACTTCAACTGCGTAACTGAGTGAGATCGTTTTTGTTGCGGTTTAAGCCTAAACGTTTGTTATAAAATCAAAAGCAGCTTAAGCGGCATATCCAAACAAATAATGTAATCTAACTATCCAAAATTTTGTATTCGAAAGAGGAACAAACTTTTTATAAAACTTTTCTTGAAGAACAATTGACGGATTTAAGACGGGTATTTCTTGTTGGACTGGAAATTTCTACACAACGATAACATTAATCAAACATAAAATGTGGGAACAATGCAATGTACATTTGAGTTCCTGTTTGATGGAACTTTTTATTATAGAGTAGTTGACAACCGACTTCCTACGAGAAAAGTTGGAAAATGTTGGTCATCTATCTTCCTTTCCCATTTATTCTTCTATAAATAAAATAGGGCTTAGAGCTGTAAGCGTTACACTAACAAACAAATAATTTATTTATTAATTTAATCGTTGGATATAGTTTGTACTCACTTTGGGTTGTGTATAATAAGTAAATTATATATTTACATAAATTATATATTTACAGAATAGTATCACGCGGGATAAAACAACGTTACTAGAGGATGACAGCGGTTTCTGCGATAGAGAGATTAAAAAAATCAATAATGAAGTCCAAGATCGTATAGCGAAAATGTTTGCGGAAATGGGGGAACAATCACGAAAGCCAGACACGATTGGTGAACACCAATTCAATGTACACTACCTTGGTTCTACTCCACTGCAGAGTAAGGTCACAAGTCTCTCTGGACTACAAAAACCTCTGAAGGATCTATATTTTGCATACAGAAGAAATTTTAGAAGCAAAAGTACACTTACAGGTAGGTTACAAATATCAAAGAGTGGACTCAAAGTTCGATATAAAGGTGAGAAAGGAGACTTAGAACAATTGAATCCATTCCCTACGATAGCGGTTTGGTCGGCAGTAAAGTTTGTGGTCCAAAATTCAGAAAAAGAAGCGAACGAATCAACTTACGCATTTTTGCCTTTAATCACCGATCCGGATAATATAGACCGTCATGCTTTATTTAAGACGTTGGAGACATCAGAAAAGAAATATATCCTCTCCCACAACGAAAACACCCATTCACCTCTTTTCGCTGTTGTGATGAGGAAGATTGGAGTCGCTAAACAACTTGAGTGTCATGGTTTTGTATGTCAGACGACTGAGGATGCTATCGTTATAGCAGCCACGTTATACAAATCCCTAATGTCACATATGAGTCGTCAAGGTCATACCGATAATAAGAAACTGAAAAATCGAAATGGTGTCAGCTGTATGAGCATTGCGAGCAGTATTACAGTCAATGATATTCCAATTAGACCACCAAGAAAAAAACGTAGCACTTCATCATATAGCGGTGATAGTGATAGAGCTGATGGATTTTCAGCCAGTGAATCGTTTAGAGAAAAATCAAGAAATGATAGTTTTAAAGAATTATTAATATCATCTCCACCCGTACTTCCTCTTGATGCGAAGCGTATAACTGTCGAGGAAGTAAGAGCTAAATTAGATTCAATTAAAGATAAGAGCGTAGCACGTGAGAGAAAGCTAATGGAAACACCACAAGTTTCAAATAACTTACCCCAAAATCCGCAAAGCAGTAGTGAATCAACAGTTCGAAGTAAGGTATCGGAAAAAATAGAATTATTTCGTGAATTAGAAAGACGAAAGAGTATAAAACGCCCACCAACACTTCCTCCTCCAGTACCAATTAAATCTCAAACATCAGATACTAAGGAACCTTTGAGAAGAACCCACAGTGGCAGGCAATTAATGGGTGAAACTGGAGATATTCTCACAAAGGTAGCGATACCAAGATCTGGCAGCTTCCTCAACGCAGGTGGACTGACTCGGTATAAATCTATAGGCCATAGGTATGTTTATTTTATTACATATCCCTAATCCTATATTTATTGAACCAAACAGGTCTGAATAGGTATAAAAATACTTGCAACTACTAGAACGCAATATTAAACAAAGAATACTTATGACATCAATTACTTTCTAGAACGTCTACTACGAGCTTAGACAACGGTACATCAACAAAGTTGTTTATTTATTTGCCATGTGTAGCCTTCATTCCAAGGGTATACAATTCCAAACAACAGTAGACCTGTGTGTCCACTTCAGTAGAATAATTGAATGGCTACTAAACTATCCGCTACCCAACTTATAAACTTGCAAAGTCTAATTTAACACATTGCGTGCTAACCGCACTATTACATTCACGACTGATAACTTCATTAATTTTAAATTGTTTTATATCCTCATCATAATCATTAATTAGAATCAATATCTTTTTCAGAAATAACGGCAAGAAAGGCGGGGGTTCACCATTGGGTTTTAATGAATTATTCCACGAATTCAAAGTACAAGAAAACCTACATTCAATGGATGAAATATTGAGCGTCATAATCGACCCAGACGGGATGTCTTTCAACGATTTAAAACCCATTTATAAAGAATTTCTCTTAAAATTAGCGGTAACACTAACTAAAGATGAAATATTTCAGCATAGCAAAGCAATAATGAAAAAACAGAAGAAGAAAATTCTACGCCGTAATACATTTCAGATAAAGAGAAGAAAATTTTTTAAAGGGTCTAGTGGGCTGCGGATGGTATTTAGGTTTCCGTTTGGAAAAAAGAAAGAAAAGAAGAAAGCACCAGCTGTGGAAGTAATTGATGCTTTAGAAGTAAAAGAACCAGTTTCTGAAAGTTCAGTTTCTACATCTAGTTATGATTTGAGACAGTTTAAACCTAAAGAGCCTCCGGTGATAACAACAAAACGACAAAATATGAAAAGAAATTCCAGACGATCAGAAAAAGTCCACGTTTCCGAAAGAAAAGGAAAATTGTCGAGACCCGGAGAGAGAACCTCCTCTGAAGATTCGGATTTTTTAACGCTGAGCAATCGATTGGGATGCCAAAACCGCAATAGTTCAAGTGGCTACGTTTCTTGCTCCGAATGTGAATCCGAAAGCTGCATGGATAGATGTTATTGTTCCTTGAAGGATTGCAAATCCAAATGTTATTGCTCGGCCATAGAGATCGGAAAAGATTCAGCGAAGGCGAAGTTATTAGGAAAAAATTGTAAAGAATGTTCGAAGTAAGTAAACAAGTAATTTAGACAAACATCAGCACTTTCTCGCATTATTTCTTCCTTTCTATTTTGGTGATTTATAAACGTTATCTTGAAATAACAATTAATTGCGTTTAAAATCTAGATTTAATTAATAGATTAGTCGATGTCACGAAAGTATTATAAACATATATTTCCAATTTAAATCTAATACTATGCAAATTACTTTAAGCTTAGCTTATCGTCGTAAAGCTTTGTAATCGCCTTTTAATTGAATTCTATATCCTTAAGCTAGTTTCGCTCGAACAAGTTTTTCGTGCATTTCTCTACTTTCATTTACTTCATATATATCATTCGAATTTAATAAGAGTGCATCTTCGCGAAAAGAATTAATTATATTCAGCAGGCTCATTCGCTAACGCAAAGGAATGCGTGCCTTATTTATTAGGTATTTATAGTTCGTTATTAGAGTTTCTAAGTGAAGAAATATAATGTGGTTTATCAGAGCGTGGCTCGTCTGTGGCTCGAGACGCCTCATGAGTAACTAAACCAAATTAAAATTACTTAGCTCTATGAATTTATAATCGCGCTAATAGGACTTTCCTCGTACAAATTTTTACTTTTATTGGCTGCTTTCTGTTGTGCTCACTATTAAGTTAATTAGAATTAAAATCAGCGTATACCGTCACTTTCATTGGGCGCTTTTGGAATTAATTTACATTATTTTCCGTATTACTACTTCGAACCGAGTCGAGAAGTTTCTTTAAATTTCATAAATTTTAATTTGCATTAAAACAAACTTAAATGGTAAAGGTATGAATTGAATCTTAAAATGATACTGTTTATGAGATGGGATTTTATTGATATTTAAAATAAATTGGATTTATTAACATGGTTAACTTGGGTAAATAGTACCTAGTCGTTGTCCGTTTTTTTTCCAATGTTAACAAATTAAATTAGGTTAAACGTAAAGTTCTAATTTTCAGGGAGATATACGAAGCAGATTATAGCTATTGCAGCTGTGATTCTGAAAGCTGTGAAGATAGCAACAAGTGCTATTGCGCAGGTCCGCGTCGTAGCGCACAGAGCTTAGAGTATTTGAAGGGTGGGCGTGCGACGTACACGGACAAACTGCGACGGGCTTTTGATGATCACGATGGGAAGACTAGAAGCAGGTGAGGTTTTTCTTATTACATTTAGGTATTATGTGTTTATCCGTCTCTTGATAGCTTATTAAGATAATAATGGAAGAAGGCATAAGAATAATTTTGCTTTCTAGAAATGTGTGTAAAGGGGCGACTATAACACACAACACCAGGCGAGCCTTCTGCCTATTTACAGAACTCAATTCTATGAAAATCAATTTATTGATATTAATAATAAAAACAATCCTGTGGCGGGTTGTAGCGCAAAAAATGTAAATGTGCATCAGATTGCATCCGGTTCTTCGATCATTTTTATTTTATAGACAAGTAGGTGATAAGTCTGTGTTTGACACATGTCGCGTTTAGCATTTGACATGTCGCTTTCCTTATGTTTGCATTTACCGTAGGAGCAAGTTCTAATGCGAACATAGAAAGTAAATTATATTAGTGCACAGCCGTGATTCAAACGCACGACTTCAGAGATGAGAGTCGCACGAGAGTGGTCCAACACTGAACAATTTTATTTAATGTTATTAAATCATTACTATTAATCTTATGTAAGTATAGTGATATACTCTTTCCTAGAACTTAAGTATCCCTCTAAATCGGAAACCGTATATAATATAAATTTATTGCGTGTACCATAATTTGAAATAGAAGCTGTTCCAAAGATTATGTTTTAATTTACAGATCCGGCGCGTCAAGCCGTCGCCGTGAAGAACGTCGGCGCGCACGCAGCTCAGACAGCCTCGCGTTGGATTACGAGTTACTTTTACAGAACAAACCGCGGGACACAAGAGCAAGGAACATGCAGCGCCTTACTGGTATGACTTTTATAATTAAACAGATATATTTCTGGGTCTTCTTGAAATCTTAAGTTCTAATAGTTATGATATCCTTCACTATATATGATCTATGAGGTGCATTCATTTAATTTTCTCTTATTTATATTTGTTCAGTCATTTCGTTTATATTAAATGGTAATTAAAATATGAATAAGTTACACTTGATTCGTCGCGTCTAAATCGAAACCTTTTTCCTTAATGGAAAGTGCAATTGTGTGTCACAGGCTCAGGAGGCTAATATGAGCTAAGCTGACTTAATTTAATGACTTATGCAATAAGTGATACCTGTATCTTATATTCCATAATAAACATATTTTATTTTTATTTTCATCTACTTGCCTTTAGATAAAAAAACTATCCCGAAACAAATACAGAAATCTGAGGCCCAGTCCTAAAAAAGTAGCTGTTTTTTTTACTCTAAAATTATTTCTTACAATTCCAGTCCGAAGTACGGGCGCGGGCTCTCATGATGCCCTAAGCGTGAAGAAGTCAGCCGAAATGGCGGCCTTATTTGCGGACGTGAGATTATCGCAACGGACTGACGTACGATCGTTGATGGGAGGGAGGCGACCTCGTCCTGGCGCTTTGCCTCCAAGTGGTGCTCCGCCCCTCGCAACCATGTTCGACCATAGGCCCTTGAGCAGGAACGCCAGCCTCGAAGATACATTGGGATACTTTCCTTAAAATGGATACTGTGCGTATTTTTGCGAAATAAATATTGTACAAGTGTGGGTCAACGTACGATTCTCAAGAGGTTGTAGGTTCGAATTCCGACTGCAATTATTTTTTGTCCGCAATTAATATTTGCTTGTACAGTTAATGTACATTGACCCAAAAATCCATGTAAGTCAGGACAATAAAGGAATATGGAGGTATCTGAGGTGATAGAGTTCTAGTTCCAGATTGTTATTATATTTAACCTTTTTAGGAACTCAACTATATTTTATTATTAAACTCTCTCATTGTATGTTCTGATTTTAATAAATAAAATGATGGGTTCTTCCTTTGGTGCATCGAAAGTAGTAAAGGCAAATAGAGATTTGTTAAAAAAAAAATTCATCCTATTCAATATTTTTTGAATATTGTTGTAACAATTAAATGAAAACTCATACCAACGTTCACGACTTAACAGAGAAAAATTATATTAAATAAATTTTTGCGCTTTTCATTATGATTTAAATATTTTTTTTAAATTATTTTAGCATTTATAACTTGGCACGATTATGTGAATAACACATATTATGTATGTGATATCGTATCTCAATCAATTTACCACCTTATTTAATTAAGGCCGTAAATTATTTATCTATGTACTTAATTTGTAAGTTAATTTTGAGTCAGTTTTTTATATACATGTATAATTTTTATCATAATAAGCCTTGCGAAATTCGAAATCGTACATATTGTATTTATGAACTATGTATAATAATGTATATAATGTAGGCTATTGAAAGTCCGTGTCATTTTGAAAATAATTACGACAAAACATACTTAAAGCATTTGAGACGAGAACTATTTGTGAAGAAGACCATAAATATTTACTTTACTTTTAATTTGAAAGTAATTAAGTAGGTTTTATATGGACCCCAATATAAAATTAACTTGAAATCCTTTCCAACATGAATTGCCTGACATGTACCGCACCTATCAATGTAAATATCTTTATTATTGTATCGATGTAATTAATAACTTTTAATTTATTCTGTAGGCAATATTTATAAGTAAAACCCGCAATAATGTTCCAATATTTTGTAAGTGTAAATAAACATTTATACAATTATATTGTTATTAACTATACTTTTGACGTTGTGCAATGACAGTGCAATATTTAGAATCTACTTGCTAATGCGATATTTGTGCAATAATTAATGATCTGTTAATAAAGTTTTTATGAAAAGTTGTTTTTATTTTATTACCAATACTTTTATTGGCTACATAGAAATATTATCGTATTTACAAAATTTAAAACTGTCCAACGCGTACTCATAAAGCTTCACGAAATAGACAAGAATGAATATTAGGTTAACTTCAAAATTATCGTATTGTTTACTAATATCGAAACGTACGTTTTGTATGGCGACCTTATCGAGATCGCTTGATGAGCACCTAATAAAGTGTATGCTAAGGCCTAAGGCCTTTTTAAGACGGTAAACAACATTAAAAACAGTTGCTATTTGTAATTAATGTTGTTTCGTATTAAAGCCAAGCACATACGTATCTCTTAAAAAATATTCTTGAAATGTTTTATTATTTAGAGAAAAGTCAAAACTTTGTACGTTTAATTAAACGTTTTATATGAACATGATCAACAGAGTATTTCTAAAGTCGTGAGAAAAGAAAAATTGTAATAGTGTATTAGATATATTGCTTACAAAATAGGAATATGTACGAATCTATTACATATTGTTAAGAGGACGTTTAAATGAAATTTTCTACTTAGAGAAGTTTTCAGCATGCTAAAATTTAATTATGTATATAAATAATTTATGGTCGTTGCAAGAGGCTCTATCACATACCAGACGTTTTGTCTCACGAGAGTGTAAAGTAATTAGTGACAGTGCATTATGTGCACTTATTAGTGTGTTTGTCCGTGTATTAAACTCTTCGTTTTTTGTAACGACGAGATCTACGTCGTCACTATCCGATCTCTTAGCTCGTAACAATATGTTAAAAAACTACATAATAGGGGTAGATATTAAAAATAAATTTGAATTTATAGAATTTATTGTTTGTTTGTAATTAAAATATATCTATTAAGTACAATAATAAGTGATATTGACAATGTTTATTTATTTGTTTTAACTAAAAATAATAATGCTCTATACATAAATATATACTTATAAAATATTTGTGATTATACAGTTTAGCAGGTATCCATTTACAATTTGCTCAGACTATTTATTATGGCAGTTTAATATGGTCTTACAGTTCCGAGGCGCCCTCTGGAGATTGGTTCCGCATAACTATGGCGGAACTTCGTCTGTGGTCTATCAGCTAAGTCACGAAAATCCCTATAGTCCCTTTCATAAAATCTATCCCTATCGCCTTCCGCGTACGACTGTCTATGATCATCCAACAAGCGAGTGCGACTGAACGCCCGTTGACGATCGTTCCAATCTCGTCTCCTCTCCTCTACGGGTTCTATCTCGTCTTCGTCCGGAGGATGAGATTCCCTTCTATCGCGGTACCTGTCATAATCGTCTCTAAGCGGCTTCGGCTCAATCCTGTTCAGATAATCTTCAGTTCCGTACTCGTATCGTTTCAAGTCATCGCGCTTTCTACCGACACGCGGAAGCCTTTCTACTTCCCTGTGCAAGTCGGGCGGTGCTAGATCGCGGACTCTGTCTTCTTTACGTCTCTCCGGTTCTCTGTGAGAACGCTCAACCTCACGATGAGAACGCTCTTGTTCTCGCCGAGAGGTCGTTTCTCTGTGACGTTCCTGACGCTCGTCCCGTCTTTCTTCTTCTGGAGAAGAAGTCGAGCGACTGTTCCTGGCTTCTAACATGCTCCTTCGCATCGCCATGTGTGCCTCTAGCTCGCGATTGAATCTCTCCCTCTCTAAGTTCTTGAACTTTTCTTTAGCTACATTGAAGCGTTCTTTTGGCGACGTGTCGGCTATTTTGAGGCTGCCTTCGCTCGTGCCTCTCTGGAGTTTGCCGAAGCGACCGTCCACTCTGTCCATGCTCCGGTTGGAGGGTTTAGTGTCAGCTACGTATCTTCGTCTGTAATTCGTTGTCTCTTCTGGATATTTGTCTACTTTCTCTTTGTTGCGTTCGAGAGATTCGGGTCTAAATCTCCTCTCGAAGGTGGCCTCGCGGAAAGGGGCTAAGGCGTCTCTGAATTGGTCCGAAAGATCGTCGTTGTAAGGGGTTCTGTCGTAGTTTCGAGGTGACAAAGCGCGGCGAGGTGGTGATGAGCGTCGCGGGGGGGAAGCGCGGCGGGGGGAGGGAGCTCGGCGCGGAGGAGACGCGTCAAAGGCCTCGTGCATCAAGTAGGCTGTGCTCTCAGCCCAATCCTCTTCTGAAAATTTTAATAATAAAATGATTAAATAAAGAATTTCGCGTTTTCAACGTAATAATAGCTGATGAAGAAATTCTTCATCCTTTCCTTCAATCCTTATCAAAACAAGAGAAAATTTAACCACGAATTATACTTCGTGTTTTCTTTTCATTAGAATAACATTCCAGTGCATTTGGAAAAACTATTACTATACTATGCTATATTTATAAAATAAATATCTAGTAATTATGGAATGGTCTAATTCAAAAAGGTTTATTTGCTTTTGTCAAGATGAATTATGTAAATGAACGAATATTTATGTAAAATTCTCAATGTGTGTAGGGCAGTTACACTGTTGTTAGTATAATCATAGTAACACGTAACAAAAGCTACTAAGAGAAAACGTATTGGTTTATTTGATAATGTTAATATTAGTATTGTATCGAAAAATAAAACAAAATGAAAATATGCTAAAATAAAGGTAACTTAACTGATACAAAGGAAACAATAAATAACAAAAGAAAGACTTATCTATGACAAGTGAAAGATTAAAAATGTTATTTGCTCTACGTACAAAGCACTGATTTTATCTTCCTACATTACGCTTCATAATTACTGCTCTAAAAGCCTACTTCTTAATATATGCGACACCTTACAAACGTCATTGTCGCTTTTACATACAACGGTACATCTTTAGAACAAGTTTAACTCATTTCTAAAATACTATTTGACATAGAAAAAACCTGTCGCTCCCACGTGCCAATCTTGTGAATCATTTAGTGGAAACAGGTTTTATTAAAAAATTTCATTGTTGCACTAATTTATTGTGAGAATTAGCTTTCGCCTTTCTTCGAGATTTGCACGAAAACTGTCTTTAATGAAGACAGTTTTCGCTTATAATTGGTAATATATATTGTGACACCGTTTATAACACAGTTTATGAACAGTCATATAAACTATGCTGATTGATTGTATATGCATACTATATGCAATTTATCAAGAATAGCTTATGCATACATATTACGTATATATTGGGTCGGAAAGGACTGTCGGACAGATGAAATTGTGATGACGGCTGGCGGAAAGAGAAAATTGCGCAATTCCTTGGAGGGGGCTTTCACCCGGGGTTTCATATAAATATTTATTGTTTGTTTATTTATTTATTTACACTTCGTTGCATTACAATATAAAAAATTTACTTAATTAAATATAAAGGAATTAAACCTTATCGCTTTCAAGCGATCTCTTCCAGGCAACCACTGTGAGAAAAGAAAAACATTTTTTTTTAATACAGTCATATTACCCGTAACTATGATGTAAAGCAAAACATCGCGTCGGTTTAATATTAACTAGCTTCTGACGGTCGTACTTTTTTATATATGTATTTATATACACGGGACTCTGCTGAAATTTTTAATATAGTTTATCGATATTGACGTCCTTACTCCTTAGTAAGTCAATAGTTCTATTGTCATAGATTATAATCTCCAACATCTGGCTTCTATTTGTTACTAATTTAATTGGTTTACTAGTTCATATGGATTTGTTACTATCTAACATTTTGGTCGTTTTGTTTTATAGAATGAATGAAAACAATGCAATATCAATTAACAGAAAGCGGCGTACAATTTATAAATATGTAAGATCTTATACTTAATAGAAAGAAGTAAATTTGAAGAGGTCGTCTTTCTGGATCTATTGAACCGATTTTAAAAATTCTTTTAACAATAGAACACGTTATTTGTAAGTGCCATAGGCTATTAAACCGATTTTGTGGTAGACGATTTTCAAAGTAACTCGGACTCGAAAAAATATTTCATACGAACGCTGAGATATACTCGTATATGATCGAGTTCTAGTGTGTATAAATTGTATATTACATATATTAAAACAAGTTTTTTACCGCATCTATCTGTCGGGTTTGCGTAAATTTAAAAACTTCTGCACGGAAATTATTGCGTTTTTCACCAATATCTAGAATGATTCACGGTTGTCCGTGTGAAGCCGCTAGTAACAAATAAATAATAGGTTTTTTTATTGTATAAGATAAGAACGTATATAATAAGGTGTGCATTAACGTTAATTCGATTCCCTTAAGTAGACCAAAAGTAAAGTATATAACCTAACATATATTTAAAATTTGAAGTTAAAACCTTTAGTTGCATTTTTCTCAGAACTTTAATACTAGTCTAGTCTAGTTTCCTGTAACCCACGACATCAGAAATAGCACGATGACTTTATTACAGCATAGGACCTAATAGAATTTAGAATTCAATTCACGCGCATACACATTAAGCCGGAATAACTGTCTCCCGTTGCATGTTGCTGTTTTAAGGTTGCCGTGAGGTGAGCTTCTAATCGATTTTTTATACAGTTCGTGCAGTAAAAGCGAATGTAACGTAGTTGGTCGGCGTTTTGTTTAGATTAAATAAAATAACCTTTTTCGAAGTATATTTAAACATATTTAATCTATAGATAAAATTTGTCTTAAAACTGGTTTACCAGAAAACCTAGGTTAACAAATATGAAGTGTCAAAATTTTAATACATTATATTAGTTTCACAAACATGAAAAATTTAGAAAGTGCAGTTCACCTCGCATCTGTAAATGGGCATAATGCGTTTCTCATTCCGCCATTATAAAATCTAATAAGTACATTTAGTAATGCAATGTTCAACGACAGAGTGAAGGTGAGAAAATGGTCTTGAACCATTTGAGAGATTGCAAGTGATACAATATGTTTATCACGTTCTTTTGTTAATAATGCAATGTAAAAACTACCACGGTTAACTTTATAAGTATAGGTTTTTAAATATGTAACCCATATTGTTCACATGTACCTATTTGGTACATTACAAATAATTCGTAATTGGTAAATAACTAAGGCAAACGAAGTGCTTTGTATATATTTAATATAAATGAGCATCGAGAATAATAACCACAAAAATTGTTATTAATAAAGTTTTTTAACTAAAATTAGTTAATAATTTTCATAATTTACTTGTCCATTTTATAACTAGTATGAGTGTTACCGAACACTTAAGTGGTCCAATGTATATCTAAAATATGTTTATACGATTGTTTAAAACCCAATTAAATAGATATATAAAACCTGGAATCAATTTATATGTTAAAACTTTACAAACGTGCTTTGTAAGTTGTATTTAAAATGACGATTCAAAGTGTAATTGCAAGTTGAACGTAAACACTGTCACGAATGGTGACGCCATGGACAAAAATATTTCGTTTCTATTGAAACACGAATTGTAAACGGATTATATAAAATTTTCATCAAAAGTAATATAAAGATAAAAATTATGTACTTTTCAAGTCAATTTTGGCGGTTTATTATTATTATTCCATGGGATACATATCCAAAAAATAGTGGCGCTACAACCTTGTAAAGTCTTAGTTTCAGATTTCTATAAATGTTTCGTGATTATCTGTTTTTTTCTAATAGTCTACTACCCTTCTGTGCCTATACACCGTAATTTTGTTTGGTAAAATGGGAAGACCATTTTGGGGGGATCATTTTACCAAGCTTGAGAAAGCTTGCCGTTATTTTCCTTCAACGTACGAGCGTGTGTTAAATGAGTGCGCAACCGTGATTCGAAACAGCGACCTCAGGGATAAGTGTCGCACACTGCTCAACGTTTACATATAAACTAATATAGCTTAAGAACAAAACAAGACTGTTTGGTTGAATCTAGCAACTACAGGTACGACGTAAAGAAATGTGGTCTTGAAAAATAGTATAACATTACTTCGATCAGTACAATAATTAGATCCATTGTGTTATAGTTAATGAACTCGTGGTAAGAAAAATAATTATATCGCTAAGTTATCTATATATATATATTATATGATCGTATAACTATACGCTATATTTAAGCTAAGCTTAAAAAAACTTTCAATAAAACAGACACAGAAAATGGATTTCCCCATTTCTAGATGTCAAAGTCAATGCAACGAGATCCTGAAAAATAAATGATACATACCACTAGTACTGTGGTTGTCATGGGGTCGATAGTCATTCCTTTCAGGGGATGGTGCCAGGTCACTCCCAATCCCGGAACTACCGCCAGACGATTCCAATTTGCGTCTTGCATTCACTCCAACTATGTTCTGGTTTAAGCAACGCCGGGTGTCAATGTTGTTCAGGTTGCCTTTCTGTCTGTGTACTGTGTCGTAGTCTCGGGGTGGCAACAGAATTGGGCTTTTGCCTGGAATGTAATTTATGTGGCTTAGAGTGTGAGAAAAGCTATAACTATTTTAATCACTATAAAGGAACATAGGTTCTATATAAAGTAATAAAGGTACTTAATAATTTTTGACACCGAAGGGAAAACCATTCAGTGAGGATTTTTTTATAGAAAGGGGCAAATGGGCAGGAGGCTCATCTGATGTAAAGTGATACCGCCGCGCATATACACTCTCATTGGCAGAGGGCTCGCGAGTGCGTTGCCGGCCTTTAAGTATATTTTTATTAAAAGTTGCTATTGTAATGCAATTTCTTTAAAACATTATGTCATTCCATAAAATCGAGCAAGATTACAAACATTTGATTAGCCACAACGCATTAATCACGAAATTCCTTTTATTTTAATGATTAAAAAGTTGAGACGCAAAGACAAGCACTACTATACAAGCATTTACTAACACGTAATAGGTGCGTACAAAAATACAAGCATATATAAACCAAATACCAGATAATACTCCATATCTAAAGCTGCCAAACTACTGTAAAATAAAGAATGTTGACTGACCTAATCCCTTTTTACCTGTAGACAACTTCTGCTTCAATTCAGCAGCCAAACTGTCATACAAATTTGCAACATTCCTGTCCTCATTACTGCCAGAATCCGATTCTCTTGATACTTCGCTCCCCAGAGAGGAATCTGGAGGCTTCTTACTGTTCGGCAGTGCACCTCTCATTTGTAATTTTCGCTCAATATCCGCGAATTTTTTCTGATTTTCCGGTCGTTCTATTAACGCCAAAAGATGGGTGTAGAGCATGCCAGCCGTGTGGTCAGAGTCACATCTGTAAAGGTATAATCTATAGTTAGTAAGCTGATTTATCATTAGACATTATCCGAAAATATGTTTAATATGTATACAGTATGTAGTAGAAAATTACTTTTGTTTAGGGTGACAAAACAAAATATTATCAGTTTCAATGAAATTGGGTACACACAGGCACGTTTTAATTGCTTTGATATTTACAAATTGTATACAATATAGCACTGTACAATCTAAGAACTGTAATTACAAAGGCAAGTTACACATGTTCCAGCAAATTGGGTTATGTCACCAGATAAGGGCAACACCGTAACGCGACTGACCGCGCAACTTGCTAGATTCTTTACCAAATCCGGCTCACTACTAACCGTTTTATGAAAACGTGTCAACATATTAGGACAGACGCATGATTAAACACGGATTATATGACGAATAATTACAAAATTTATCGGGTAGAGTTTTTGTCGCGAGAGCAAGACTCCTAAATACCAGTCGATCTAATTTAGTTAATAGAAACAAAATTATATACAATTTTTGTTTGTGTAATATATAGTTGCTTTGTCCTATAAAGATATTTTGATCTTAAATATTTGGATTTTAAGTCAAGTGGACTTAATTAATCATATGTTAATACATATTACAAAGGTATTTTTCATTGTGAGAGCGTCGTTACTTTCGCTTGACATTTGTAAGTTCATTAGATACCAATTGTTGAGATTTATAGTAAAAACACAACTTTCTTTAGAAAGCTTTTAAATATTCGTATTTTTGGTATGATTTCAACTCTTGTAATAATACTTATGATTACAAAGCCTATACAGTAAGTTCGTCTCTTAAATAATAATAATGAAATTTAACATAGCAAAACCTTATTTGTCAGAAAACTTTAAAAAAAAGTAAATAATTAAAGCTAGCCTGAGCTAAATACATATCGGGCATAAATAAAAAAAACTTTACATTGTTGTTAAGAATTTAACTTGTAATCATTATCAACATGATTAACAAAATAATAATTAAAATGTTCAATAAGTTAATGTCTATTATAATAATTGTGGTGAACACTTTTGTAATTACTAAACTTGAAATTAATTTACAAATTCCAAAACCACATCGAATGTTATTATGACACGAATGGAATGCATTGTGCCATAATGTCAGAGCTACAAGGTCCTTCTTGTCACAACATATATCACACTTTGTTAGTTTGATCGACGGTTAATTTAACGAAAATTGAAAAGTGCGGTTTCTACACATGTAAATAATCAGCTGTTTAAAAAGTCGGATTTGGTCGGTACATAATAAAGTAAGTATAAAGTTAATTTAAAATAAAACTCAAAACTGTTATAAAAATAATAACTAAAGTAAATAATATTAATGTAAAAAGCTGTAGTAAAAAAAATATTCTATCTATTTAAGCAGGCACTGCTTTTATGGAACTCAATAGAATGGGCATATCCGTTTCCTCTTAACTAAGATTATAAGCTTGAATGGATTGCAAGACTAAATGGACCGAATAAAATCTTAAAGTAAGGATATTACAAAACTACGAGACACTTGGGCGGGAACGTACAGGTTATGTAATGTCATTGTTGTACACATACACAAATCTAATAAACTGGTTGTCTATGGCCCACCCACAGATGCAATAGAAATGATGTTCCATTTTCAACCTAATATAAACAGAAAATTAATACCATCTCAGATTTGTCCTATAGATTCTTATTAATCAAATGACAATAATTCGAAATTTACAGACATTTCTGTCTATGTTAATATTTTACCTCCGAGAAACAGGTGTTACTAATATTATATATACGTACGTTTTTGCTGAGCAACGGGTCAACAATTGTCATTTTTTTTTGCATACGAAGGATCGGTAATTCTTTGGAAATTATATCAAGAATACAAAGAAAGCCAATAAGTGTAATAACTATACTAATCAAGATATCATTGGATAATATCTAAATTGAATCATTTATTTAAAGTCGTCATACGAGGTTTCTTTAGCCGTGGAACTGAACGGGTTGAAAGAAAACCTGTAACCATGTTTTATGCATGCCATTATGAAACATATAAGTATATGTATAATCAAAGAAGTAACAGTTAACAACCTCGTAAACACATTAAAACATGAAGCTCACATCAATTACAGAGAATTGCATAGCACGACTTAGACAAGATCTTCACAGCACGCAATTACCAATTATCTGGTTAAATATTCATTAATTTAGTTAATTCAGCGTTAAAAGTGCTTGCTGAATGAATTATGTATGTTCAGTGAACATGAAAATATGTTTTCGTCAAGGCGTGGGGAATTAAAAAGCATTTTAGAAAAGGGATTATAAAAATAATATTTTTCGATAGGATTATAGTTATCACAGGAATACCATTTCATTCAGATAACATTTTAATAAATTCATTAGCAAATAAACAACCATTAAATCTCTATATACGAATAATTTTTATTACAAACACTATAAATAACCCTTTTATTTATATAACAACTTTTTCAAGGCAAAGGAATAATCAGTTGCTGGTAAAATGTATTTTTTGCATATACTAAATTGACCCAAGTAATAGTAATAATTTTATAGAACTTACCAAGTCACAAGTCACAACTGTACAGAATATCAAACACTAATACAACAGAACACACATTTAATTATTAGAAAAAGATTTTACAAGTAATTTTGTGCAAAAACTGGTTTCTTTTACTAAGGAATACCATTTAATGATTCTCAAATTACTAATATCAAGGTAAGCACAATTACAAGTGATGATTGTGAAAACATCATTGAGTATTCAATATGACGCATCTTCCATTTTATATAATGACTAGTTGTTGCTCGCAACTTCATTCGCGTTGATTTGAGACCAGCAGCATCATGAACATTATTTTGTTGCGGCGTTCTTTTAAAACTATGATATCAGTTAAGATACACAGTTAGAGAAATTTTGGTCAACATGTTATTTTGATAAAAACCTTTGCATATAATGAATAATTTTAGAACAATTTGATTACGGAAGCGTTTTTACTTAATAAAAATAATCTTCTTCGATAAACGGACTATCCAAAACAAAGAGTTTGTTTAAATTCGAACCAGTAGATTCAGTTTAACCAAACAAACCAACAAACTTTAGCTTTACAATATAAAGTATTCGTTGTAGGTCTTTTATTGTTGATAATAAATTTTGATTGAGAAACAAATTGGTCTCACAATTGTTTTAGAAGTCTCTAGAACCACACTGTTTATATGGACACAATTTTAAATCTAATAATTAGATACATGTGGTGAAAATTTATTGATTATTTTATGATTTCACTACGATTGTTTGCAAATACGTAAAAAAAATAATTTCTAATTTAATATCCCCACTTATAGAAAATCTTTAAAGGCATTTATGGACAAGTATTATTTTATACATACATGCACGGATATTGCATGTTTAAAATAATATTGTATTAGCATTTTTTGTAATTCTTGTAATGGCGATCATTCGTCACAGTTGACAGTATTACCAACTAGAAGGGTTCTACTCGTTTGCCTTGCAAAATGCTGACTTCAAGGTGTCACAATATTTTCACTTCATGCTTCGTCAGTTACTAGCTTTAAGTTTTTATCTAACACCCGCAGGGTGAAAGTACTACTAGCAATTGATAATTGCACCTATCAAAAAAACTAAAATGTTACGGAGATGAATTCTAAAAGTATTTTGCCGTTTTTAGACTTACCACTGACTTAGATTCGAGGAGAAATCGAATGACTCAAATCTTAGGAAAGTGCAAGAATGCGTTGATGTTAAAACAGCATAGTAAGTAATATTTTAATGTTTGTATTTATTTATTGAATTGGTGACATTCTGTAGTCGATTCTTACTGACAATTTTAATTAAGTAATAAGAGGATTTCACCAAAAACTAAATGAGAGCAAATTTTAATAAACTACAGTGGTATGTCCTCGTGTTTTGGCGCGAGTGAAAGTTACCGAAAATTTCTCCTAATTTAATAATAATAAATTACGATGAATTATTTATTTATAACCTTGACACTTATTAAGATAAAAATGTGTGGAATTTTTATAGCCAGTGTGGTAAATTATCGTTATGAGCGTGAGTTTATTGCGACACCTCAAATAATGCAATAAATTATTGTCTGTATGACCCCGTTTTTCCTCAGTATAAGAGTTATAAGAAATGCGCTACACTATGATATACGCTGTATCTTTATTTTTTTCATACTATGAATTCATTTGTTTAGCAAAGAAATCGCTATATGAACGCAGACGTACTCGCAGCCAATATCGCCATCTACATATATAAAATGCGATTTCTAAGGGTCAACGTTCTCACCTCTGGGCTACAAACAAGTACATTAATACACGTACTCATAATTAGAAAGGCACTAAATATACATTTCTATGAACAAGAGAAGTGACATCAACTGTGAGGGTCTACAATAATTTGCTAAGAACAACCCTTAGCTTACGGCTTAATACCATAAAAATAATCTGTTTTAAGATGACGTTTACCAGCGATTCGATACGAACCCATTTTCATATTTTGTTCTTAACGACTCCTTTCGTTTATGTTTATATCGTGTGCTATGTTTAAAGAATATTTAGTTTTTAGGACAAATAAACTTTGGCAAAAAACAAAATTACTGTATGCCATTGCATATTATATTGATAGGTTATCCATTGATAATATAAAATATACTAACGAAAATACACATATAAGATAAAAAAATCTGCGTAAATTACAATGTAATTTAAAGGAAATTTTGAATACACAAATGACTCCTATGGTAATAATTTCCCGATATGCCGGGAAATCGGAATATTATCGGCTACATTGATAGGGCATGTACAACATTTAAAGAATCTTGTTTTAGGAATATATTTTCTTTGCGTTGAAATCTTGGTATGTAGGTTGCAAGTTTTGTAATAACTTATATTTAACTGGGTTGTGAGAACATTTTTATTGCTTTTGGCCACTGCATGGTAGTTTTGGAAACTAACTTAGACACTGGGCACAAGAGGAAGGATATAATAATTATTTACATAATACATATGTTCGATCGCCTTATGTACGGCGGGTGTATTGAAATTTACTTAGTGGGCAGCAGTTTGACTCTCAGGGAAATAAAAGAAAGCTGATAATTGACTACTGATAACTGTGAACGATGGTCTACAGAAGTTACATTTTCCAGATACTTAACTATACTCGTATGTCAACATTTTTAAATAGGGCCACAAAATTTGATTAGTATTTAACGATGGAGATCTTATTAACAAAGATATTAGGTATAGACAATTCTATTTTTATCATATTGTCATACCAAAGATGTATCTAGGTTTGGTTAGAAATTAGCTTTTAATAATTTTATACTTTCCAATGGTTATGAATTATATGCAAAGGCTTGAAATGACACCATTTTGTCTTAATAAAACTATACAACTAGTATGTACACTTTAACTACTGAATCAGCGAAATTTTAAAAAGTAATAGTCAACGGAGAGTATTTTATTTTAAATTTAGAATTTATTTTTGCTCTGTTGCTGCCATCTTGCGGTCATTGCTACAAAACTGGTATGGACTGGAATAATCCAGCTTCTAATCTGATTGCAGGCTGTATTGCGAGTTAGTGAACTTGAATTAGTATTAAATAGTTCCCCCTGTTCGTTCAAAAATATAGCAAAAATATGGTTAAATTTTATGATAGATATAAAAACTTGTGAACTGAAAGTGATTCTTTTGTGATTCAATTTTGATTTTGGTAAATCCTTTGTGATCTTAAATTAAAAACTATTCATGTTTGTAATATATTTAGATATTTTGAAGAAGCAGGATGTTTTGTGCAACAACAGCCAATTTTATCGACCAAATCACATATTTAAAAGTGAAAATACCGAAGTAACGTAACAGATCTCTATTTTTTAGGTTTTGACGTTTAGAATTATGAAAACATTTTTGGGTTCGGGTTAGTACCTACGGTTGTCTTTGAACTAAAGTTAGCGTCATTTGTGTCTGTGTTTGTTTCGTATACCGGTGCCAAGCCGCTAATAGTTAATAAGGCGATGAATGTAACAATAAGTTTCCATCAATTTTCTTAAATGCTACATGGCATACAAAATTGTGAACAAGCGTCAATTGGAATGCAATTGTATGCATGGGACATTTTACCTTGTACGTTCTTTATTAAGGTGTATTATTGCATACGATGATATAGCCTTCAAGATGCGCCGGTACCGCTAGGCACTTGTTGCAACATTATTGAATAGGTACGGTAAATGTCAAATTAATTGTTTTTCTTTATATAAAGGGTATAATTTAATAAACGAAATCTTAATTAGCCTAAGAATTAATAATATATATAATTATTAATAATATATTAATTTATTTTCACAGTTATTGCCATGTATTTTAGAATAGATAGATTAGGTATAACTTATACTTTAGAACATGTTTCGAATATTTTTTGGTTATCTTCCTTAACTTCCCAGTCGCTAAACTACATCCATATCTACGTAAAAATGTAATAAAATATGATTCAGCCTTGCTTCAAAACGAGGCTTACTTGTTATATTAAAAAACAAAAACCGAAATCGGCTATATCCCAATACTATTTATAAAGCAGCGACTATTATAAAATTTTATATTATTATTACAATAGTAACGTGGATTTACATATGTTAAGTCAATTCATGGTGGGTTGATGACCTGATAGGTCTTGGCTAGCTGTAGCTTATGTAATCACATACCTTCACGTGTGGTCATCATCATAATGCATATTAGCAAAACAGTAGAATATTTTTTATAGTTTTAGCGGAATTAATTGGTCATACAATGATACCTACAGACGTACTCCGAGTAAACTTTAGGTAAACTTTAGGTCTGGGTTTTTGATTTCTGTACTTTTATTTGTCCAAGGCACGCCGGTTTCCACACGATGTTTTTCTTCACAACACGAGACATTTGGCACAGCCGGGGGTCTAATCTACGGCCTAAATGTTTAAATAAGTCTTACATTGATTATATAGTCGTTTTATTAAATATTTATCATAAAAAAGTTTTCCGACCGCGTATGTATGAACGCGATAATCTCAAAAACTAGCGAACTAGTTTAGTTTTCACAAAGAAAATTAATTCCGGAAGGTTTAGGTGTATGCTTCGATAAGGTTTTATGTAAATTGACTGAAATATAACGATTGAGATATACGAATCCACGCTGGTGAAGCTGCGGGCGGAAGCTGTTACTATGTCTCCCGTATCATTAGGAAATATAAATAGTTTAATAGTAGTGAACTTGATATAGGAAATTGGAACATTGGCAATTTGAAGTCGTTGAAAGGTGTTGTCGCAGAACCAGCTAGTTAAAATATTTGGTTAAATGTAATAGAGCCATTGTCTTGCGTGGCATATTGTTGAAGACACAAAGGTCATGTTCTCAACAAATGTCAAACGATCACTTGATTTTTTAAACTTCAATGTCGTTTGCTAAAACAAGTAAAACGTGTATATTTTTTAATATACATTATTTCTAAAATTCTTTTCATACACAATTTATTGTTTTCTCAAATATTTTTAGGCACTCATGTAACACACCCGATTACAGAGACTTAAAGATTTTCTTTGTATACGAATAAATTGCCTTTATATTTTTATGAGAAAATATTCGGATATGTTTGTCATCAAGGATTAACAATTTGTTTTTTTTTCTTTGTCTTTGTTTTGTTTATCTGGCCTTAAGATTAATGCGTTAGAAGATAGTTAGAGACAATAAATTTATCAATACCACGGCTCGTTGTCATATTACATATCATAAATGTCCGATTTATATTGTAATATATAAATATATATAATCGAAGAATCGGATTGGATAAATGACGCTAGGGTTGCTTACGTTACTTTTTCTAAAGTCATAAATTATGTATTTCCTGCATGGTATAATTTTAATCTAGCGGACATCAAGAAGTGATCTTTCATAATGTAAATAGAATTGCCCATCAGCTCGAGTTTTTACACAGTTTTCAATTTCCCGTTCCATCGCATTGAAAGTTTATATGATTAAACATAAATTGTTTATGAAAACACAAGCATTTTAGTTTACAGATTATCGTATTAAGAGTAACGAATTTTTAGATCGTTTTATATTAGATTCCTTTTCCACAGACGCAATTTTATCGAGAGAAAAATCATCTTAAACGTGTCCGTAGCAATGCCTCATTTTCGCAAGGATTTTCATTATTGTTTGGTTTAACATGAGGCAACCTGTACTTCTTGTACTTTATCGCAATCAAAGCTTGTGACAGAGAGTCAATTGTCATGTTGACATCGTCGGTACACTATAGTATAGAAATATGCAAAATAGTATTGTGTTGAAATAAAGTTCATGTTACGATGGTGTTACGTGGTGCGCTTAATCGAAAAAAAATTGTACTGCGTACACGTTATGACGATAATTTAATGTAATTATTTTCAGCACCAATATAATAACTATATTACGACAAATAATAATCCTAGGAAAGGAGACGAATTGCTGATTTGGTTTTTGAAGTTCACAAAAAGCAAAGTTATTAATATTTAATATGATTATAAAATCACTGCTTTTGAATTATTTAGTATATAGTAATGTAGTATTTGTATTTTTTTCGAACCCACCCGGGAATCGAACCCTCTGTAGTCTAACAGTAGTAACAGCGAGGCAGTAAAAACTTACCGGTAAGCATGTACATGAACTGGACAGCCTGTGATAGGATTGTACAGGAGCAGAACACAGGCCACTACATCTCCTTGGACCACGCCGCTTGTGATGCTTCCGTGTGGGATGAAGTGTTTAATAGTCTGCTGCTTTCCCTTACTCGTCACATTCTGGATTATTTTCAGACCCTTATGGGACACCTGTGAGAAAAAAAGAAGACGTAATTTATAGTAAACCATTCACTAGATTTACTGTTTTCTAATTACGTAATAAAATTAGCCGATAGTAATAATAATAACATAAAATAATTTAATATAATATATGAAATATATAATAATATAATTCATTTCTGTTTTTTATATATAAGACGGCGGCTGGTTAAATGAAAAAGGAGTAGGTCGTAGGTACATAAGTAATACTGGTTTATGCGTGTAGTACAAAGATGCTTGCTGACTAAGGGTGAAATTCAGAAACAATACTTAGAACAAAGCGTATCCCGTATGTCTAAAACGTATTAGATTTTTAAATTTAAATGAATAATCGATATGTCTTTTAATTTCCAGGAAATTTGTGGATTAATCTTCTTACATGAATTTTTAGATTGGAATTAATAGATTTAAATCTTATCGAATACTAACAATATCACATACATAGGTGTACTTAAAACCTAATTTCGGTTAAATACCCCATAGTGTTTTTATATTAGTTTTACCTGTAACGTGACTTTAAACGGTTCCAAATCCCTGGCTCTTTCTTCAAGTATCCGAATGGCAGGTAGCGCGAATTCCTCGCCGCGCAAGCCCCGTGATTCCTGCGCACCAAGGAACCACACGTAGTAGGAGGCTTTCTTTATGTCCTTTTTTAGTCGTAGTGCCATTTTGTTGTTATGTCATCCTCGGTCCTGCAAAAAAAGTATATTTAAGTTAGCGTGATCATGAGTTTTGACTACTTATATTTAAAGTTATCGTATGAAATTGTTGGGTTTTTGTGATTTTACACATGAAGAACTATTTTAATCTCATTCAATTATTCCACGTACAAATTGAATATCAATGAACATCATTTGGTAATTTAAAGTTGACTTGCATAGAAACTGACTATTATGTTTCTAGCATTACAATGTAGACGTGATAGCTGCTGTTCAAGCCATAATATTAGTAAAAGCGGTTAAAATTATCTCATTTGCGACTTTGTGGACAACACACATGGCGTATAAGCCGATACTCTTTCCGTACAGCATTTGGCCTAGTGGCTTCAGCGTACGACTCTCATCCCTGAGGTCATAGGTTCAATCCCTGGCTGTGCACCAATGGACTGTCTTTCTATCTGCGCATTTAACATTCGCTCGAACAGTGAAAGAAAACATCGTGAGGGAACCGGTTAAAAAGGTGTAGCTACTGATTTATTTATTTTTTATTTTCGCCGTAATAACTGCTATGACGATAGCGCACCCATATAAAGTTGTTGGGTATAGAACTCTGACATCCAAACTGGCTTTTCATACATTTCCCATGCATAATTATTCTTGACTAGGGCCAAATGTTGATTGAAGAAATTAATTGATTATGGTAATACGTAGCAGTAAAAACTATTAATTAATTATCATTACTTAACGCTTCATAAATAAGGGCTTCAAATAAGGGAATTTTTGAATTAAGAATTCTCACAACTAGTTACCACATTGGTTCCCAAACCTTGACTTCTTTTCGTAATTGCACAAAATTAACACTTGAACTGTTATGACGACCAATTAGACTATTAAACATATTAAATGTTTTCGAATGTCAGTTATTTTATCAAATATTTTTTACCGACCGAATCTATTACGTGAGATTTAATTGAAGATATTTGAGGTTGGAAAAAGTATATATTCGAGTATATAAGCGTAAACACTTGGTTGTATGAAAAATTAATCCTCTGTAGTTGTGAGATACAAAAACGACTTGGCTAAGCCAATTTTAAGTAATAAAAAACATATATAAATCAGTTGCAGAGGTACTTTACAGCTCCACTCCTCGATCATCATAATAAAATAAATAAAGAAATAAATCATTTATAAATTCATATTTGGAATTATCATTACAATTGTAAGTATTTATACGAGCCTATAAAACTAGGTAAAAACGTTGTTTAAAAGCTGTTAAGTCATTCTACAAACATTTAATTATAAGTATTCTTAAAGGTCATGACATAATAGTGTGTTGTAGATTATATAATATATTGATGGGTTTGCGGCCATTTTTATAAATTGCACAATGCGATTATATAAATCGTGAAGGTAATTTGGCTAAGTTATAACTATTCATGGAAATTGTTTAATTGACTATATATGCCATATTCGTACATAAATGTTTTACGTTTGGGAAGAAAAGTTAAATATGTTTTGATTATTTTTAAGTTCTTTGTAAACGAAATATGACGCTGCATATAATATGTATGATAAATAAATGCATCCGTACATTATTCTGCTTTGGGAATAAAGCATCGAAATACCAAAGTCGAAGATTAGCTTTGACAAGAGCTTGTTCTATGTAATATAAATAACATGTTTTCAAAATTAACGTTTTTACCGAATGTGAAATTATTAGGAATTTAGTAAATTACATCAAATATCACATAAACGCCGCTCTAATGACCGGAATACCGGAACAAATTCACATGTTATAAAATCATCTTGACCACCAATAATGTAGGTGCAATTTTAAACATTAAGAAATATCAAACTCTAAGAATATAGAAATAAATACCAAAATCGTGTGAGGCATTACATAATTTGATAAAATTACATTACTGTGTTTCTGACATTACGATACATTTCAATGTAGGTAATTTAATTAGCAGTTAAAATCATACCATTTATTCAGATTACCACGTCGTAGAATATAAAGAATGTTCCTTTTAAATAAAATAATTATTATGTTAAGACCTTTTCAGGACTGAATTGCCTCAATTGTAAACTACCTTTAAAATCCAGATTTTGAAAGTTATCGTCGAATATTTTTACTTTTTTCTATATAGTTTACAGGGGTTGTCAAAATAAAACATTAATATCAAGACAATGATTACAAAATCCTTTATATATAGAACAAATGCTGCAGAATCGTTACATCACGATCATACAGATCGGTCCATAGACCGAAGACATATACTTAAATATACACAAACAAATTACACGTCAAAATGAAAACCTCTTCCTTCGATTTTTTCAAGTCAGTTCAAATAACACAACAAACGTTCCGGCTTAATAATTATAGTTAATTTCAGTACAAAATACCCGATTACGCATAATAGCAGCTAATGTGTCTTAATAGCTTGTGAAGATCTCCTAAGAATTTTGTTTGACCTCCAGTTTCTAATAATTATTGTACTTTTGAATAACCTCGGGCAATTTTTAAAACTACCGTTACTCATTTTGGGAGTGGTCTACGGTTCCGTTACTCCACTGAAAAACATGTTCCGAATATTAATATCTATGAAACAAGAACGAATAAGGCTAAGATATTGTATAAGAAACAGTAATTTGTCAAGCTATAAAATATCTTCTGAGGTTTTTTTCCAAATATTAGTTTCGTAAGTTCTTTGACCTTTAATAATTGCAGGTAGGTTGGTACAACATCTTTATTAGATTGCCGGTACAAAAACAAAAATGTTAATTTCATAAACAAACTCAAATGTACTATCAAATAATTCATTTATACATTTTGAGGACATTCAATCTTTAATTTTTTACCCTTTAGGGATGCAATTTCCAAATTCCGTCATAAAGTTCCTAAATTATAAATTCTTCTTGTTTGATTAATCAAAGTAGTTACACATACAACAATTTACAAATTATTTGCAAACACTTTAAAACAAGTATGTATAAAGGAATGAATGTGTCAAGCGACAAACAAAATATTGTTTTAAAAATAATAAACATGCTTTTATACGTTATGCTAATTACTTGACAATATGTGATTGTGTTTTTATGTTGCAACTGTTTATGGATAAACAATGGACGATTATATTTTAATTCTATCATCACTTGTCTTCACACGGGTTCAATGCGAAACATTGTTTCTACTGAACTTTGTTTTCATAAGTACTTTCGTATGTTTTAGAACACCTAAATGCCAAATTAAAAACTCAAACAGAGTGTAGGTTGATATTAATTGTTAAATATGAATAATCTAATTAATATAGATAGACAATCCACGAGAATTAAAATTTATGGTATACTAATACAATTGCTCGAATAATTTAAGAAGCAACTCAATTTTTTTTTATCGTGAAACAATCCGAAGAAGGAATTAACGGATTTCACGTGTACTTTTTTCGGTCTTTTATAAGTCATTTAACGTTTTTGACATTTGCGTAATATTTACTTAGCTGTTATATCAGGTCAAGAGGTTGAGATAGTTTGACGTTTGAAAAGATTATAATCGATAAGTGGAGGCTTACACCTAATCAGAGACTATATCCAAAGAAATAACTTTCTAAATAAAGCTTCTTTATCGCTGACTAACATTTCTGAAACGCACTCAAAACGTAAAGTTTTAAATAATAAATTTGAATTTTACCAGCTCAAGAAGTTTTTGCCAAAATGGCATTATATGTAGTTTAACATATAAACCATGCCTATATAGGTGTAACTATTTATTCGTTAATTATTCAATAAGTCCAGTAATTTTTTTACTTCTACATAAAGTACCTTGCTACACTCATATTTAGGGCATCGAAACTCGGTCCAATTTTAAAAACCCGGGTTTTCGGGTCTAAGAGTAATCAAAACCCGGGTACCCGGTTTTTTCGAGCATTTCGGTCTTTTTATTGATTTTTTTTAATTCACTAATCTGCGTTTATATATCGATTTCCTAGAATGAATACAAAATATAAAGGATGAGGAAGAATTTAAATAAATGAAACAGTACTTTACAAATTACAAAAACAGTTTTAATGTTTAAAAAAGTGATAAAGATTTATTTTTTTCTTCAGAATATCTTAAAACTTAGTAAGTAATCTAGCATTTTTAAATCACAGACTTGCAGAGATTAGTTTTAACATTAAATGAATTATTTTGGAAACATTCACTTATTGTATTTATAAGCTAATAAAAATAAAATCTTCAAAAGACATTTTTGTAGTATCACAATTAATTTTAATATTAATAAAGCTCTTCTTCGCATTAACAATTAAGTAACGAATAATTCTAGTCTTCTATTCTACTATAATTTAAATTGCAGTCGTTTTCTTAATAATTAGGTCTTTATATAATTACCTAAAATACTAAGTAAAAAGTAGTTATGCATTTGACACATTATTTAAGACATAACCTCTGACCATCTGACCACTTTAGAAAAAAAGAGAGGAACGCTCTCGCCGTCGCGTACCGCCATTCTCGAAGAGTGCTATTTCTACCCTCACAGTAGTAGGTAAGCAAATCGTCTGATGGACAAGCTGATCCAGTTTCAGGAGCATTCTTATCAGTAGCAACAGCTTGACTTAACTGTCTGTTGAGTTCCTCTTCATTTGACAAAGTAGACAACTGAATGTCAATTTCTCGTAGGTCTTGGTCCTGTAGGCCGATAAAAACAGTTTTATCTTCATTTTGAATGTTCTCAAAATATTTACCCGGATTTGTCAAGTAGGTACTGTAGTGTGGCTGCTTGAGTTAGTTTTTTTTTGGGTATCGTTTGCCAAATGCAGTTGCCATTTTGTTACTTAGTGGTGTCTTCATTTCATCCATTTTTGTCAATGCAAATTTTAGGGAAACATCAGCTGTAAGTAATGTTGCATCGCGTCGACATAGCGCCTCGACGACAGTTTTAATAACATCCAATATTTTTGGATCTCATCTTTATTTCTCCAGTCATCATCAGTAATACAATATCTGTTTTT